GTTCTCGCACTCTCCTTGGGCGTGCAGGGCTGCCGGATCCGTTTTGGGTGACTGCACTGCGGCAGGTCGCCCTTGTGAAGAACAGGGTGCTGGCGACTGTGGGGGACAAGCAGTGGGTCCCCTACACCAAGTGGTATGGGAGTGCACCAACAGTCAACATGTTGAGAGACTATGGCTGCATGGTGGTGTTTCATGTGCCCAAAGAGAAGAGGGGAAAGCAGAAAGCTTCTGGGAGATGGGGTGTGCATTTGGGACTTGCTAAGGATCACAAGGGCTGGTTGATATGGGACTTGACGAGCCAGCAGCTGACTGTGTCAAGGTATGTGAAGTTCCTCGGATCCTTGTACTACAAGGAGTGGAAGCAGCAGCAGCAGAAGCTTCCTACTACACCGCTGATGATTGAGGCCGATGAGGTGCAGCGGCCTTCGAGGCAAGTGCAGGTCACTGTCTCAGAGGATGAGATCTCTGGGGTGACTGAGGATGGGGGAGAACCTGAGATGGTGGAGCAGCAGCAGCAGCAAGGTGTTCCACAAGGTGCCGCACGTCCGGCTGATCGTCCTAGGAGGGATGTGCGCACTCCTAATTGGCTGACCTATCCGAGCTTTGGCAAGCCAAAGGTGGTACGGGCTGGGAGTGTGGCTGAGCAGTGTGATGAGGATGAGATAGCACACTGCTACTAGGCAGCCGTCCCTGAGCCCAAGACGCTAGCCGAGGCGTTTAGTGGGCCCGATGCTGAGAAGTGGAAGCAGAGTGTGAAGGAGGAGTATGACTCTCTGCTGGAGAATGAGACGTGGGAGCTGTGTGAACTGCCTCCTGGGAAGAAGGCCATTTCTTCCAAGCGCCTGGCTGAATCTGAGCATTGGAAGGGCATGGAGCTTGCTGGGATGAGTGAGCATTGAGGGTGCATGCTTGAGCTATGGCATGTGGGTTGATGGTAGACAGCCAGAGGGGAGTTTGTTATGTGATGCCATCATTTGCATTCACGTCTGTCTGCCTCCCATCATATGTTTGTGCGTTGCATGTGTGGTGTGAGCGTGTGCAATAATTTGTGTTTGGTGTGGTTTGAGTTTTCAGAGTGTGTGTGAATGTTACTTGACTTGAGCAGATATCTAAAGTGACTCCTCTGCTCAAGAGCTTTTCGTCGAACCAAGTATCGCTTCAATCGGAGCACGAACAAGAAAGTTACGAACATTTGAAGTTCGTATGCTTTTGATATTTGGTTGTGGTGACTATGGGAAGTTGTGGGGTTGACTCCATAAGGGGTATAGACTTTTGGGGGTTGGGAAATTCTTCCCCATCACTGTAAATTCTGCTAAGTGGTTGGGAGAAACCAAGTTGGGTTGGCAAGTGTGGCCAACTTGGGTGAGGTGGATTGTGGAGGTTGGGAAATGGACAAATGTCAAAGTTGGGTTACCTATGGGGAGGAAAATTGTGTGGCATGGGGTTTCCTTGGTTGGGGACTCTCTTGGGACCTTCCCTCTCGTCCTCCTCTTCCCTCGTACCTGGTTTCTAGCTATTCTAATTCTCTTGTGTGAACTTGTGAGACTCTTGTGATTGAGTTAAGATTCTATGGCAGCATACCCCCCTGTGCGCCGAAATTGATAAGTCGAAAAATACTTCATCTTTTCGTACAATTCAACTTGGGAATTGTAGCCACGGACTAGAGCTACAACATATCTAAAATTGGTGAAGTTTTGACGGTGCGTTTTTTTGTCCACGGCGTTTCTTGTGAGCGCGACGATTCTGTCCCGAAATTGTGACCAACAATTTTGTGATATTTCGGCCTCTAAGCTTCCTAGACTCCGTCCTTAGTCTCTAACATACGGGACAAGTGATATCTTTGGGGCACCACGCACATGGTTACCAGCTCCAGTAGCTCAGTTAATTGCAGGGGAATGGATCCGGAGAAGCTGTTGTTGCTCACATCCCTGCCATGTCCATTGCCAGTGTCAATGCCAGTCCCTTCACCGTGTGAGAATTTGCGACAGACTCCTTGAATTATGCAACAACTCGACATGAAACTTCCACTTCAACCCACCTTTGTCCACAACCATAAGGGCGTGTCTCACAGATATGAAAGTTGGTGGATGTGGAGAAGAAATTGGGGAAATTCTCCCGAGATGTGGTTGTTGGCGATGTTTCTGGTGCATGCCCATGGCACATGTGGTGGGAATAGGGCGAGATGGATGCAAAAACGCAGAGGCACACAGACTCTCATTTGGGCTTGCGAGAAACACACAAGCCTTCATGCCAGTATAACAGATGTGATTCTCAAATGCATGCCCCACAAACACATGAGGCCCACAACAAGCGTGTGGGTAGGCGAGACACAGTTGTTGCTGCATGGAGGAGGTGAGAGAATGAGTGAGTGAATGGGTGAGTGCGTGAGTGAGAGATAGAGAGAGTGAGTGGGTGAGTGAGTGAGTGAGTGAGTGGTTGAGTGAGTGAGTGAGTGGTTGAGTGAGTGAGTGCGTGAGTGAGTGAGTGGGTGGGTGAGCGAGTGAGTGAGTGATTGAGTGGGTGAGTGATTGAGTGGGTGAGTGAGTGAGTGAGTGAGTGAGGTATGGATGGAGGCGACTGACATGAAGTTGAGCCCTGTGATGGCAGAGAGGGCTGCTGGAAGCACCCCGGAGAAGTTGTTGGTGTGGAGGCTTCTGCAGGCCACGCATTCAAACGAAGGGCTAAGCTGTTGCCAGTTGCAGGGAGCAAACAACGTAAGGGAGGGAAGGGGGGCCCCATCTAGGAGAAAAAGGGGGGGCCCAGCAAGGAGGGAAGGGGAGACCCAGAAAGGAGGGGGCAACAATGAGTAAGGTGGGGCGGGGAGGAGGCTAGGCACTCACATGTCAATGAGCCATGTCATCTGAGCCACCACGCCCAAGCCTACACTCAGACTGTTGTTGGAAACGTCCCTGTCATGCATGCATGCACGAGGGATGCATGCACGTGGGATGCAAGCACGTGGGATGCAGGCACGTAGGATGCAGGCACGTGGAATGCAGGCACGTGGGATGCAGGCACGTGGGATGCATGCACGTGGGATGCAGGCACGTGGGATGCAGGACGTCGGATGCAGGCACGTGGGATGCAGGCGAGGGGAAAAGGTAAGGCTAGGCAAGAACATTCATTGGCAAAGGGAGAGCAATGATCAAACATATTCAAAGCCCATGAAGTGAGGCATACAGCACATTCATGGCGGTGAGGCGTACAGCACATTCATGGCGGTGAGGCGGGTGAAGGTGGTGGGAATGCCACCCGTGAACTCATTGCTGGCCAGCTGCCTGCAGGCACGAATGGACCGCGCAGCAGGGCACGGGGAGAGAGTTGGGGCAAGGAAACACAAGGGTACAGGTGTGGACGATGAAGCCAGGCGGAGAGATGAGGGCAGAGAGAAAGGGGCCAACTTTATGGGATGCTGGTAATGAGTGCAAGGAAGCACGGCAGATAGGGGCTGGGCTTACAGGAAAGAGAGTTGCGGCAGTGCAAGGTGAGGTGGAATGGGGCCACTAAAGGCATTGTAGCAAAGTGCTCTGGATGGGAAGGGGAGGAGACCCCCCGAAATGATCAATATGGTGTTTCATGGCCTGGGAGCTGGAGACTGGCTCCTTGCAATACCGTTCAGCCATGACCTGTGCTTCACCTCTGGGCAGCGGCCACTTCCCTGGCCTTCTGGAAGGGACTCCCTTTCAACCTCCCATCCGGGAAACTGCACGTACAGAAGGAAGAACCCATTTTGGAGCTCACCCTACCTAATCGTCTTCTACGCTGCAGGGACGGAGCAGACAGGACCACCAAGCACAACAACCTCGTCAATATGGAACCACTACCACTCCTAGCCCACATGGACCCCCAGCTCTGCCTCCTCCTCCTCTTCAACCGATGCGTCAGTCGGTGAGCTTCATTCCTCGCCCGACCGGCCCCCTGGAGGTACCAAGGCCTTCTCTGCACGTTCCTGGACTCTTGGGGTACTGGGCCTTACTGCCTACCTTGCTTCCATAATCTCCACCGCGTACCTGCTCTGGACCACACCCTCCGTTGATCTACGCAGCTGCTCTGCCTTACGGACTCAGACCCTACCTCCAGCACGGCTCTCCCTTCGTGCCTAGCGGGCGTGACGCTATCCAGCGGAGGCACCAGCCCTAAAACCAAAACACCAAGAACCCAACGGCTTAGAGCTGCAACAGGCACTCTCACTGGTGGTTCAATCGGCCTGCTACATCCGACAGTTGAATGACACGTGCGGCATGCTGCGCAACCCCCTGCTTGACCACACCCAGAAGTTGCGGTTGCTGCTCGGGGCCGGGGCTGGGGATTGGCGGGTGGCAGTACACGACTAGCACGACTGGCTTAGAGAGTGCAAGAATGACTGGCAAAGAATGAGCAACTCAACTCTGCGTGAATCGCCAACTGAGTGCAAGAGCTCCCTCTCGGATGAGGGTTTACAGAGGAAGAACATTTAGAGGGAATTGTGGGGTGGGAGGTGGAGCTTGAGTTGAGGAAAGGAATGTGAGACGTACATGCTTTGGATGTTGGTGGTGAAGGCACGGGGGATGGAACCAGATAGATAGTTGAATGAGAGGTGTCTGCAACGGGAGGGGGGAAGAAAGAGCAGCGCTAAAGTCCATGAACAGGGGGGCGGGACAGAGCGAGCAACGAAATGGTGAGAGAGCGAGGGTTGGGAGGGGCAAGCGGCGTGGATGCTGGGAACTTACATTGCAGTGAGGGCTGTTAGGGCAGAGAGGGTGGCGGGGATGGTGCCTTCAAGATGGTTGTAACCCAAAGCTCTGAAACAAGATGAAGGCAGAGCTGTAAGTTGCATATGCAGGTAAGTACTGGGGTTGACAAGATATGCATTCACTGGGTTTCAGCTTAACGGATTGGAAACAGCACCTAAGAAGGATGACAGAATGGGATGGGGACATGGCAGCATGACAGTATGGGAACATGGCAGCATGCCAGCATGGAATCATGGCACGATGAACACGGGGAGTCATGGCAGTGGCTCACAGGTATTGCAGGTTCAGGAAAGATGAGAAGCTCTTAGGCACGTATCCCTCCAGGTTGTTTCCAAAGAGAGATCTGCAGTGCGTGCCACCAGGCACGAAACGCACGGCACGAGGATTACACAAGGAGGGACTTGCGCAGAATCACAGCACACCTGATGACCTCTCCTGCCTGCCTGGTGGCCTCTCCTACTGCAGCTGCAGCAATGAGCCTAGCTATTCCCACACTCGTACAACGAAATGCTTGGGCCTCTGCGTCATGTCTGGTGATGTGACTGAAGGTTGCGAATTCTGCACACTGCACTCACAGGCTGGTGAGTGCGGTGAGGTGCGAGATGTCATCAGACAACAGCCCCTGCCGCCGCGGCTCATCCCCATTCACATTGCTGCATGGGCAGGGGGACAAGGGCAGGGGGACAATGGCAAGGGGACAAGAGAACAGGAACAGCGGCAGTCGAGGGGACAAGGGCAGGGAGTCTAGGGATTTGGGACAAGGGCATGCTTGCGAAACTTCCCACACTTGAACAAGGAGAGACCACGCCCATGGCATGCATGGTTCCAGCCGGTGCGTCGTGTGTGCAGCAGCAAGGGCGGTAGGTGTGTGGCAATGGCAATGGCTCACAGATACTGAAGGTTGTAGAGGTGAGTCACCCAGGCAGGGAATTCCAAGGCCCGCAGGAACGACAAATCACTGCAGGGGAGAATGCAGTGGGATGGCAAGGGGACGGCACAGGGATAAAGTCACGGTAGAGGGCTGGGCTCGTGCTAAATGGGGAGTCAGTGAAAACCTTCTCGTACACGTGAACAAGCATGCTTTATTTGAACTACTCTTGGACCCGTATGCAGCTGACTCAAAGTGCAGTGAGGGCTGTGAGGTATCGGATCTCCCTGGGTATCTCCCCCATGGCATTGGTGAGCGAACTGAGTGTCCTGCGCACATGCACATGCACACACATGGAGAAGAGTCAACACCACCAAGGCACAATAAGAGTCAACACTACCAAGGCACAATGAGAGTCAACACTACCAAGGCACAATGAGAGTCAACACTACCAAAGCACAATGAGAGTCAACACTACCAAAGCACAATGAGAGTCAACATTACCAAAGCACAATGAGAGTCAACACTACCAAAGCACAATTAGAGTCAACACTACCAAAGCACAATGAGAGTCAACACTACCAAAGCACAATGAGAGTCAACACTACCAAAGCACAATGAGAGTCAACACTGCTACCAAGGCACAATGAGAGTTAACACTACCAAAGCACAATGAGAGTCAACACTACCAAAGCACAATGAGAGTCAACACTGCTACCAAGGCTATAAGAGGCGACAAGAAGGTCAGTTCACACACTGACTGATTTGAACTACACGAGTTGACGCATCAAGGCAGCACCGGCTCCCAGCGCACCGGAATCGAGCTTACAGGCTTTGAAGATTCTCCAGATGAGAGAGAACGTGCAGAGCGGACAAGCTCCCCGTGAATTCCACCAAGCCAAGTATATGCCTGGTGGGTGGTTGTGAAAGGGTTGTGGGACGTACGAGAAGCTTTGGGGCGGGTGGACGGTGGGGCACACGACATGGGGCTTGTACACAAGTTGCTGGAGAAATGTGCGTGGCGTGCAGCAATGTGGGCAGCATGGCATATGTGCGAAATGGGAGTGCCAACTGCATGCTGAGTGGCACAGTTATCGGGGCATGTGAGCTGAGAGGAGGGCGTGGCAGTGTGCAGAGCATACAGCGATTGCAGGTTGGAGAGGGAGGAGAGCCAGGCCAGTCCCTCGTAGGTGCCAGTCAGCTGGCTGCCGTCTGCTCCCATGGCTCTGAGGACATGCCACACATGCAGTCAGCCATGCTGCACATGCAGTCAGCCAATCCACACAAGCAATCACCCATGCCATACATGCAATCAGCAATGCCAAACATGCAGGTCAGTGGTAGAACGAACATTAACTGTGAGAAAGGAGCAAGAATTGGCGATAACCTTTGTTTGGCTGTAGAGGAGAGAAGGAGCGCAGTGCATTGTATTGCCAGCAGCGGAGGCGGGGCACGTACAGGAGAGTGAGCTTGGAGAGACTTGCGAGAGATGGGACAGGGCCCATCAACTTGTCGTTTGTGAGATCTCTATGGACGTGGGGAGGCACGACGCAAGATCGAAGGAAGGAGAGAGGCGGAATGAGGCGTGCAGTGCGATTCCTTGGTACAGATCACATCCAAGCTGCTGCACCAACCGCTGCAGAGCGTGCAAAGGTAGCAAGCAGGGGGGGTTGGTTGTGGCTTATCAAACAAGTGGGCTGTGAGATGGGGGGATCATGGACGATTAAGCACAGCTGCCATTGGCAAGAACAGGAGGGACTGTGATGGGTGGCAAAAGAGTAATGGCAAAGTGCATGCAATGCAGAGTGGATGGAGTGGCGGGGAGGGTGGGTGGGGACGGACAGGTACTGCAGAGCAGCGAGGTTGGTGATGGAGGCGGGTATGGCGGCGCTGCCATCCACCGCCACGGCCTTTGAATCCCTGCCACCCACCACACGCACGCAACCACACCATGCTCACATCCCTTCCCACCCCTTCAAACCACCCCTTTACACATCCCCTCCCACCACCCCGCCTCCACCACTTTTCCCAACGCCCCCTCTTCCATGCCCCTACCCCATCCCACTCAGTCGTCTCCTCCCAATTCTTGCCCCCATTTCTCAACACCGCTCACAGTCCAGCCCATTCAGAACAGAAACAAAGTGATGCACAGGAATCAGTGCATGTGTTGCGGAGGTTTCTAGACTCCAGGAGAGCCGAGGCGCGTGAATCACGCGATTGGAGTGAAGCGCACGTGATAGAGAAATGCAACCCAGGTGGGTGTATTTGTGGTGTCAGGCCAGGGTGCACATGTCGAAATCTCCCCTATGAAAATCTCCGCACTCCTCGACAGGGGCGGTTCCTTGGCATACGATACCATGTGCCACCAATTCACACTTCCGAGCCTCCTGTGCCGCACAGTCACCTGGGGATTGTAAATTTCGGGTGGTCAGGCCTTTTTTTGGAGATGCCGAACATCCCTGCCACTGCGCGAAACATTCCCTTGGCACATTCATGGCTGCGAGGGAACATTTTCTCCATGTGCACGGGAACGCTCTCTCACTATTGTTTGCGGGCAACTCATCCTCTGCTGCGCCTCAAATATAACCTTTGACTCAGTGGGTAGCGAAGCATTAGAAATGAGGGTGGTCACGTGGGGCAATGGTGGGAGCAATGGGGACAATGGAGGCATTGGCACTCACAATGAGATGACCAGTCCGTTGGGGCTGCATGTCACGCCCGGCCACGCAGAGCAAGCAGTGGTGCCGTTGATGTTGCCCGCCCACGCGCCCCACGTCGCCTGCACCTTCACAATCTCGCTCACTACGCATGCAATGAGCGCTCGACAGAATGAGGGGAGGGTTGATGAACGTCGTAACCCTATACGGTATATTGTTACATCCAATCTACTCAATAGCTCTCAGAGCCAAAATGTTGCTGACCCAAACCTGACCTTGACACGAATCTGGCCCTAAGCTAACCCGAAAGTCACCCCAAAGAAAATTTGTAGCTACAGGCTGTAGCTACAATATATGTACATAGTATGAGGGCCAACAGTTTTGGGACGCACAGGCACAGGCGGCTCAGGCACAGTCTGCAGCTCAGGCACTGTTATCTGCGCGCGTTACAACAGTCCAATTCAGCGAGCTCACGTTGCGACGCCTCCAAAGCCACGGGCCTTACGGACGCGGACGCGGCCGCGGTGGCGGCGGCATCAAGCTTGAGGAGTTGCGAGCGCTGGGCGCGGATGGGCCGAGCAACGGCAGGAGACAGCACGCGCTGGTTAGGCCGATGGGGGGCTTCTCGCTGCGGCAGTGGGTGATTGGCGGAAGAGAAGGAGCAATCTGCGGCGGTGGAAAGCCGCAAGGGCCGCGCAAATGAGAAGCTGCGCTGCTGTATCTGTACGCATTGACCACTGAGGCGCAACGCGGCTGCGCGTGGGAGAGGAACGAGTTTTATGTATGGCAGACATTGGAACTCGTTTAATGTACGGTGGACTAGTAGTACATTCCTCCTCCTAGACATCTGCTAACTGCATCGGTGTGGCAAGAATTCATGGTGTAGCTACTTCACCCAAAATTGCAGGTCAAAAAAGTAACTTCAATGTTTTGTGGAGTTACTTTCCCCAGGCAATTGGCTCACGCCCAGACCCAACAGGTGTCAGCTGTGAAGTTCGGGTCAGCTTCGCGACAGGTCTGTGTCCTGGTTTTCAGGTTTGGCGCCGACCAGAGTGAGCGCGTTTCATCGCGCGCCTCGGCTATCCTGACATGACGGTCCGCGAAGTCAATGGCGACGTTACAAGACTGAGAACTCTCGCAAACTTTGCCGGCGGCAAAAACAAAAGCAGAGGGATCTGAATACTCGATTGAAGTTAGGGTTCTGTCAGATGACTGTAACATACAACATGTTTTAAAGAAGAAACTGAGAATATGGAGAAAATCCATCAAATGGTTTCTGAAGAAACATGTGTTGCTAAACATTGGAGCAAAGCCAAAGCAAACAACCTTCTTCACCGACTTCGACGTCTGCCGCTCCACCTCCTTCAGCCATTTTTAAAGACGACCAACACGTCGCTTTTCTTCGCGATCGGCCTCACCCACACATTGCGAGTCTTCCTATCCTTCAGCAGAAGAAATTAGAGGCTACCGTCGTTGTCGGCCACCCGAAATGGCCCGCAGAGGTCGATGTGCACCATATCGAGCGCATTTTTGGCATCCGATCCTTGGTCTGGGAAGGTGTGCCGTGCATGTCTTCCGCGACGCAGGAGGCACACGGAAGATCAGCTGCGGTTGACTTCTTGATGTCCAGACCGGCGGCGACCTCGTGTTTCGCCGAGCTCTTGATCGTGTCGACGCCGACGTGCGCAAGCCGTGCGTGCATCATGTCCGGGGTCAACTTCGTCGCCGACGCGATAGTCCGCAGAGCTACTACCTCCATCAAAGTCATCGTCGACTTTGTCGAGCAGGGGCGCAGGTCGGTGCAAAGAATTCTGCCGGAGTAGCGTGCTCGACCAAGGACATCGCCGGCAGAAGACACCAGCAGCATCTCTCCGCCGTCGTCCTGCAGCTTCACGCCGTTCTCCTTGAGTTGGCCAGCAGACAGCAGGTTCGCGTGCACACCCAGAACGTAGAGTACGTCGGGGACGAGGACCTGCTTCCCGGCCTCCCCTTGCAGAGCAACGGTGCCGCTGCCTTCGACGCTCTGAAGTGCCCCGTTGAAGCCGCGGACGTGGCGAACGTCGCCGCTCGGCTGCATGTCGAAAAAGGCCTCCTTCGTCCCCATCAGATGGTGGGAGCAGCCGCTGTCGAGCAGCACAACAATCGGATTGGCCTGCACAGCAGCAGCGACCGCCTTGAAGTCTTTGTCAACCTCCAGCGCTAGTGAGATCGTCGGCTCCACCACGCTGACCATCGAGCACGAAGCCTCCTCGCCACGAGCATTGCCACCAGAGGAGTCAGCATCCTTTGTCGAAGTCGTCTTCGACGGCTGCTTCTCCTTGCGTGGCTGGTTGTCCCGATGACAACGGCCATCTTCTCCCTTTCTGCAGTTGGCGTCCCCGTCGTCATCACACTCGTCTCGGTCGGGGCAGTCGTACGAGAGGTGGTCGGGAGCATCGCAGATGTAGCAACGGCGACCTTCTCGACGCGAGCTACTGCTGCCGCGATCTCCACCTTTCGCCGACTTCCCGCGGTCGGCGCCCTCCGTCGATTTCGCGTTCGACGACTTCCCACCACCGCCTCCAGCAGACTTCCCACGCTGCCCCTGTTGGCGTCCCTACTTCGCCGGGCCAACATATTTGGCATGCGGAAGCAATTCTGCAGGTCGCTCAGACTCCTGCATGAACTCGTCCCGGATGATGTGGCTCGAAAGCGAGTCCTCGTTCAAAGTTTCGCGCGTGCTAGGAATTTTCAACATACGGCGCATCAGATTGTAGCCCGAGGGGAGGCCGCTGATGACATGGGTGACGTACGACGCCACCGAGTAGTCGACGACGGCCATCCGCAGATCTGCCAAGTCTCGCCGCGCTCGATTGCAGTGCTCGGTCGCAGATTCTTGCTCCCCCATCCGAATGTTGGTCAACTTCTTCTCCAGTTGACTGATGAAGAGGTCGACGGTCGCTTTGTAGGTGCGCATGATGTACTGTCACGCTTGGTAGCCAGCATCCACCCGTTGTTTGCACGACTTCAATGCGACCTGCACCAGAGGTGAGCAACACCTCGAAATAACCATGAAGGTCAGTAGATGAGGAGCGTGAAATTCTGTCCAGAGTTCAGAGTCATGTGCGTCCGGCGTCGCAACATTGCCGTTGATGAACTTCTTTAATCCGGCGATCTCCAGCTGCGGCTCAATGGATTCAATCCACGTGATCAAGTCTTGTCGACCTTTGAGCGACTTCGGCACAGCGATCTTGTCCGGCAAGAATTTAAATTATTCGTATGCCCGCGCGATGCCTCCGTCTCGACCAGCCGACGCATGAGTCGCCGAAGTTGGCCTGACTCCACTCCGCAGATGAGATAAACGTCGACCATCGATGTTGCCGTTCGAGCTGCCTCCAGTCGCAGACGATCGCAACACTTGCGCCTGCATTCCGCCAACGCTGCCGTCGGCGGGCCAAATTGTCAAACTCATATGCTATAGTCTGTGTAGGCTGTAGTGGGGTAGACAATATGGGGTACAACACTTTTAGGTTTTCCTACTTGTACCTACCTGCTTGCTAGTTCATTAATTCCTTTCTCATTTCTTCACATGGTATAGAGCAGGTTCCCTAGTGGGAACACTTCTCAGGGCCCACCACGATAATTTTTTTTCCTGCCCGGAGCGCGCTTCGCTCCTGCCCGAGTCGCGCCCCGTGTGCCCTCCCTACCGTCGCGCCCTCTCACGGCCCCTCACGGCCCCTTCGTGTCGCCCTTAGCGGCCCCTCTCACGGCCCTTCGCGGCCCCTTACGGCCCCTCGCGCCGCCCTTACGGCCCCTCGCGCCGCCCTTACGGCCCCTCGTGCCACCCTTACGGCCCCTTACGGCCTCTCGCGCCGCCCGTCGGCCCCTCGCGCCGCCCTTAGCGGCCCCTTACGGCCCCTCACGCCGCCCTTACGGCCCCTTACGGCCCCTCGCGCTGCCCGTCGGCCCCTCGCGCCGCCCTCGTCGGCCCCTTACGGCCCCTCGCGCCGCCCTCGTAGGCCCCTTACGGCCCCTCGCGCCGCCCTCGTCGGCCCCTTACGGCCCCTCGCGCCGCCCTCGTCGGCCCCTTACAGCCCCTCGCGCCGCCCTTCTCGGCCCCTTTGCGGCCCACCGTCGCCGCCCCTACTGCAGCAGCCGCAGCCGTCACCAGCAGCAGCCGCAGCCGTCACCAGCAGCAGCCACCGGCGCGCCTCGGCCCGACCCTGCCGGCGCGCCTCGGCCCGTACCTGCCGGCGCGCCTCGGCCCGTCCCTAGCGGCGCGCCTCGGCCCGTCCCTGCCGGCGCGCCTCGACTCGTCCCTGCCGACGCGCCTCGGCTCTACCTGCGCACCTCGGCCCGTCCCTGCCGGTGCGCCTCGGCCCTGCCCCACCACTTGCGGCCCTCTGCCCTGGTAAGAGCGTCGCCGCACTGCTGCTCCAGCTACTACTGTTGCTGCTGCT